TCATATATTCAGTGACCCATATAAACATAGCAAGACTTGTAAAGTTTTTAAAGGGCTCAAATGAGCATTCATAATTCAAATCGGATTTTGTTCCATCAAATATTTTCGGTAAGTCATCTATGTTTGAGATCGGTTCGCTCTCATCATCTGAACTACAATCAATATCGGTATTAAATCTATTTTCACTATACATTGACGTATCTTCTGAATTATCATAAGTCCAATCGTCAAATTCTTGGCCAAGCTCCGAATCTGTATTCTGTTCAGACTGCTGATCATTACTGTCATAAGTCAAATCGTCAAATTCTTGACCAAGTTCCAAATCTGTATTCTGTTTGGACCGTTGATTATTACTGCAAATGTGGTTATAATGATTAGACCATGATTCACTATTATCATTATTAAGTTGTTGGCTATTATAGTTGTCATCCTGCAAGTTTGTATAGTTCAAACCAGTATTGCTATAATCCAAGTTATTGGAAAATTTAGAGACGTTATAGCTGTCTAAATAGGTTTTCTTGGCGCGTAGATGTATATCATAGGACTGTTGCGGTATATTTTTCTTAACCCTATTTCTAAGAGTGAACATTGTTCTATACATATAAAGAAGAAACCGGAACGAAAAGCCAATTATGGAAAGAAGAACAATGACAAGATCTGAGATTTGAAAAAAAATGAACCAGTATCAGGGTAAAATATGTGAATCGGGTGAATTTGAATATATATAGTAAGATGGTTATTTCTACGTTACTGCTTTTGATTATGTTTCTTACACTTAAAATTATATACAGAAGTATTCGAATTTTAAATTTTGTTAAATTTTTTGTTGAATATACAAAGAATAAAAAGAGTTTGATTTTATTACGCACATTCCATTTTATATATGAAAAATCGCATGATATCATTAGACTACCATTGTATTCTTTTATAACTCCGATTATACATACATATGCATATGTTGTGCCTTAGGCCGTTCGAAGTTGATTCCTTAGACCATTTACTTATTGTTTTTGATCTATCAACAAATTAACAATAGTAGTAAATAGCTAATAGAATTTTCTTATTTTACTATTGTTCTTTGATCGCAATAATCATTATCAAGAACAACTCTTTGAATGATAGCAAAAACATTATAGTTTTTTAAGCCCCCATCAAATCCACACTTGCGTCAGATACATCTGACGCAATCATTTACCTGAAGCACAAAATATATAAA